AGTAAGTGCTCTGTGGCGGAATTGAAGAAATTCAACTCAGAGTCTGCCATTTACTTATTTATTTTTAGATTTTTTTAGAGACAGCATCTTGCTCTGTCATTCAGGCTGGAGTGCAATGGTGCAACCATAGCTCACTGCAGCCTCAAACTCCTTGGCTCACATGATCCTACTGCCTCAGCCTCTGAGCAGCAGGAACTATAGGCATGTGCCACCATACCTGGCTAATATTTTAAAGCTTTTTCTAGAGACGGGCTGTCTTTGCTATTTTGCTCAGGCTGGTCTTGAACTGTTTGCCTCAAACAATCCTTCCACCTTGGCTTCCCAAAGTGCTAGGATTACAGGCATAAGCCACCATGCTTGGCTATGTCTGCTATTTAATGTTAAGCTGTGTTATAATGCAAACTTGCCTTCATTTCCCTAAGCAAAACTTTAGTCAAGTTTGCTGTCCTTGACTGTTTGATAAGACAGCTGCACTTAGATGCACCATGTCTACTGCTTGGTCAGGTGGTGCAGAGAGAAGAGAACCTCAGAAGGTGCGCTGGCTGACTGCCTCAGTGGCTCAGATGTCAGTGGGAGCAGGAAGTAAGAAGAACAGAAATTATGATATTGTAAGCCCCCAGAATTCATGAAAATCTCACTGGATTATCAGATCACTGGACTGGCCACAGCATGTGAGATAGGGAAGCCTGGAGGGGTTATTCTTTTCGTTAATTAAAGGAAAGGGTTAGGGGACTTGGATCCCCTCAACCCAACAGGCTGAGGTGACTTAGATCACTTAGGAAGCAATAACACTACTGAGCATCACCATGCCCTTTCCTTCCAAGATGCAAAATCTTGCTAGAGAGTAGGCAAGATTAGGTTAAGGCCAAGAACAACCACCGAGACCTGCCTGCCCCTGGCTCTGAAGCCATGAATCCTCACCTATAAGAATTCTTCCTCCCGGGGACTCCCTTTTTTACTCCCAGAAGTCCATCTCCATCCCTTTCCCATCTGTCCTTGTCTGTCAGATTGGTTTGTATGTGTCTGAAGCGTAAGCCTGGATCAAGTTAAGTCCCCCACCATGGGACCTCTGGACATCTGGATCATCAGTGTCATTGAGCGACCTATTCCCCTAAGAAGGCCTTGTCTGCTGAGAGCACTTGGAGGATCTCCACAGGGAGCCACCAACTCCTGATGCCAGCATAGCTGAGTCTCAGCTGAGCTGTAGCCAAGAGATACCAGACAAGAGCTTGAGGTTACTTAGTTGATACCTCCAAGCACTAAAAGACCTCAACCTTTCTTGTTTTTGGAAGTCCTTCTTTCTCTCCTTACATAGCCCATTGCCTGTGAGCACACACAGATGGTCCAAGGAATGACAGGCTTCTTTTGTGACGGGTGTTGACTGACACAAACATGGATAGCTTGTTAGGTCATGAGGTACCATCTTTTCTTGGCATAGGCTTTTAGTACCTATCATTGCCCCAGGAGCCCACAGACCCGTCACCACATTACTTTTGGTCTGCAGGCTCTTCCACAGACTTGGGTGCTCTTCAAACTTTGCAGGACATCAGAATCACCTGGGGCAACTGTCCAAGATGCAGGCCCTAGGGTCCTGTGCCTTGGGGATTTTGAGGCTGGTGGTGCACAGCCTGTCCTGGAAGAAACCGTGCTGGAGCCCTTGGCTTTCAGCTTCTGGTGTGTCACCTCCATGCTCCCCACCCTCCAGGCTCTTCTGAAGCCTTCATTTTTTGCTCTGATGTGACCCCCTTCAGGGCCAGGTTTATCCTTTTTGCTTCGGGCATATTACTGATTCAGTCACCTATCACACCATCCTGTCAGTACCCTCTTTTATAGTTTTCCTACTCTCTTCACATTTTTTTTTTAACCACTCATAGTTCCTCATAATTCTGTTCTTCCTCCTGCTTCCATCCCCCACCTAACCTTCTGGATAAAATTCACTTTGTGTCTGGGCACATTGACTGATACCTGTAATCCCAGCACTTTGAGAGACTGAGGCAGGAGGATTACTTGAGGCCAGGAGTTCAACACCAGCCTGGACAACACAGCGAGACCCCCATCTCAAAACAAATCATCTCTATAATATCTTCATTAGATAGACAAAACAAAAACATTTACATGTTAAGAGAAACTTCTCTTTACCACCCTTAAAATATTTAAAATACCAAAGATCTCATATTTATATGATTAACAGAGAAAACTCAGACCCATGGGCCAGCCATGAACAGTGACAAAATCTACTTCAAAGTTTTCGCTGTGGCTGAGTCATTGTCTCTGTAATTGGGGAACTGTTCCCAAGCTGCCTTCACTGTAACACTGAGAACTCTGAAGAATTTTCACTATTTCCAGTCACTGTTACTGTGACAGCACTCTACGTTAGCAGTTTAGAATCACCTACATTCCTTATTTTAAGTAAAAATTGAAATGCTTTAAAGATTTATGTTTACCAAATGAGCTGAGGAAAAAGTAAGTGCTTAAAATATATTGCAATTGCAGGCTTGAAAATCATTTTTAGGTATAAAATTGAAATTTTAGATTTCAATCACTTCCTACTCATTTAAATTATTTCAGTAAAGGTCTCAAAGCTTTAAAGGGAAAAGAGAGCAAAACTAAGAATTGAACCATTTAAAACTTGGTGAAACAGGTAATAAATTATACCTGGATCATTTAGTAGTTTAATAGTCTGGCGTCTAAGGTATCTTCTATAAATGTGGTGTTGGGTCGTATCAGCTGAATTCAGCTACTTTAATAAAGAACTATACTTTCACAGAGAGGAAGGAAAAAGCAATGGGTCTAATCTTGACATCATATAAAACAGCTCCCCCGAGCCCACCAACGTGGTATTACTGCCACCTAGTGGTAGCATATCCTCATCACCGAGGTCCTGCCTGTGTAAGTGGAGGGGAAGAGGTGTGGGAAGCACAGCGGCAGGGCGAATCCACAAGTTAAATACACCGGGGGTCGGGGGGTGGCGAGGGCAGCGCTAGAGTAAGGTTATATTTTCTATAATGTCCATCCTCATTGCTTCCAGGGCTATTTTAAGAAATATTTATTTTGATGGGGTTTCAAAGTAAGTCGTATGAGGACCTGTAAGCCACAGTTTTTACTCCCGCGGAGTTTGTTTTACGCAGGCTTTAAATAGACAAACAACATGTATCTGAGGTTCTAGTTTTCTATTAATTTAATGCTGGCCTGGAAAACATTTTGTGATTTAAAAGAAAACACTAAAGTTAGCTGTATTACTGGACTCAGTAAGGAAAGAACTGGGCTCAGTCAGAAGTGCCAGATCCCCTATAACCAGGGGTGAAATCTCAGGCAAGTATCTTAGTAGTTTCCAACCCCACGTGCCCAACCTGTTAAATAGGGGAACTGAAGCCGTTTCCCTCTAAGACGCTCTCCATGAAAAGCTCTAAGACCCCTCTTATTCATTTCTTAAGTCCTACCGCCAGTAGACCAAACATTCCGACATTTTGGCTGAGATGCTCAATTCGCGCACATTATCATGAACGATTTCAAGTTTTACCCATTTTCAAAAGCTGAATCTACCCCTGGCGCTTCCTGGAAGTTAAGAATCTGGGAGATATCTCAGCTGGCCAGTTGGTCAAGTAATCTTTGTTGTTTGCCATTAGCTCCTATTAGTTAACACAGCAATCTTTTCAGATGAAGTGTGGCCAAGGAGACAAAAAGTATTTGGATCAGGCCCACAGGATCCAAAAGTAACCTTATTTAATTTCATTTGGTTGAGTTAGCAGCTACTTTTGCAGACTTAAATGCAAAAGCTGGTGTGTTTGAAGTTTCATTTTTGTCCAGACTTTCATTACTCAGAAATCAGTGCTGACACAATTAAGCATGACCTTTCCATGCAGATGGTGCCTTGCTTCACCAGCGCAAACAGCATCTGCCACACTCACCCGCAAGTGCACATGTTTGCATATTTTTAAGACACTGCATCTAAAAATGGCAAAGTAAGTGCTGAAGTAAAGGCTTTGCAGAAGGGAGCATAATATTACTTAATCTGTTTGCATTACCTGTTAAGAAAGCCAGAGTGAAGTTCTAGGAAATTAGGAGACATGCAAAACACAGCACTCTTCTTAAACCACACATGTGTTCTCTTAACATTATTGGAATAACATATAAACACTGCTCTATCTGAAGGCATGTTGATTGGCTGTGATAAGAGGTGTTTGGTTAAAGATAAATCATCCCCAGCTTCAGCAAGAAAGCCTAATATGTATTATGTATGTGTGCAGGATACCTTCAGCAACCCTGGGTAGTTGTTTCAAAATGTTACATTATTTCAAAGTTAAAAGGGAACTTAAAAGTGACTTAGAATAACTTTCCTTCTTATATAAGAATCTTTTTTACCAGTGACATACAAAGGTGAGGGGGTGCACGGGAGCACTTCAATCCCTGGTACAGTCAATAAGAATAAACAAGCAGGCTGTGCGTTGTGGCTCACACCTCTAAACCTAACACTTTGGGAGCCTGAGGCGGGAGAATTGCTTCAGCCCAGGAATTCAAGACCAGCCTGGGAAAAATGGCAAAACCGTGTCTCTACCAAAAAATACAAAAATAAGCCTGGTGTAGTAGCATATGCTTGTAGTCCCAGCTATTCAGGAGACTGAGGTGGGAGGATGGCTTGACCTGGGGAGGCAGATGTTGCAGTGAGCTGAGATCATGCCACTGCACTCCAGTCTGGGTGACAGAGCCAGACACTGTCTCAAAAAAAAAAAAAAAAAGAAAGAAAAAAGGAATAAAGAAACAATGATAAAACCAATGAGAAGTCATTCTGCTCTTTATTATCACCAGAAACTAGCAATTCTAATCAATGTCAGTGATAGAATATACATCCCAGCAGAGGCAAACCATTCCTCACTACCATAAACTGAACATTTGTGTCCCACAGTATTCCTATGTAAAAGCCTAATCCCCAATGTGATGGTATTTGGAGGTGGAGCCTTTGGGAGGTGATTAAGTCATAGGGTCATAATTCTCATTAACAGGATTCATGTCTTATAAAAGTGGTCCCAGAGAACTTCTCAGCTCCTCCCACCATGTGAAGACACAGCAAGAAGACAGCCAGCATCTATGAACAATGAATCAGGCATTATGAGACCCCACATCTGCTGGTGCCTTGATCTTGGACTTCCTAGACTCCAGAAATGTGAGAAATAAATTTCTGTTGTGTATAAGCTACCCAGTCTGTGGGATGGGGTGGGGAGAGTACCCAGGACCCCTAGTGATTAAGGTGGGGAGAGTGACCCAGGACCCCTAGTGATTAAGGTGGGGAGAGTGACCCAGGACCCCTAGCGATAAAGGTGGGGAGAGTGACCCAGGACCCCTAGAAATGGGGTGAGGGAAGAGTGACCCAGGACCCCTAGGGATGGGGTGGGGAGAGTGACCCAGGACCCCTAGGGATGGGGTGGGGAGAGTGACCCACATTATTCACAGTCATGTGAATAAGAAATTCACTTCTGTGTTGAAGTGTTAAATTTTGAGTCTTTCTGAAGTAGCAATTTAGCATACCCTGATGAACACAGGAGAGAATGAGACAGAGTGAAAAGAACCTTGAGTGAAAATGTTATGTGCTAGTTATTCATCCACTGGCTTCAGCTCCACTTCTGACCTCCTCTCCTCCCCTGGTGTCATAGGGGACTGGAAGCCAACAAACTACATTTCACTAATTCCCTTGCCAGCTGTCTTCCAGAAAGAATTTGCTAACAGGAAGACTGGAGAAGGGTAGAAATCCTTTTCTTTCTTTTTTTCTTCCTTAGGCAGTGCCTTCGGCAGCATGAGCAGCCCTCAGCAATGGTGGGCAGCTGCACGTTCCAGAAGTCTCAGTGCCAGTTTCCAGCTGCATCAACAGAGTTGTGTCCTTCTGGTCCCACAGACCAGCAGTGGCAGCTAAATGTCTACAGTGGCTTCTATTTTCTTAACTGGAGAGTGACTTATGCACATAAATTCTCTTCCTGGTGCTGCTAATTTCTTGTCTATTAAAAAATAACAAGAATAGTGATATCTGCTCTGTCTCAATAACCTAATGTTCATGATATACAAATGAAAATGATTATGAACACTCATAATCTAAAGAAACATATTTTTATGGATCCTGGTTAAGTTTGCTGTTATTGGTCACGTCTTTCTCTTTCTAGACCTTCAGGAGCCCATTGAATGTTTCTAAATTGTGATCCAGTCAAATATGTTAGTTATTTTTTCATTTGAAAAGATGAATATAGCTAGCACCAACAGGGGGAGCTGTTCTTTTATAACCACAGAGAGTGGCTGTATTTCTTGTTTGAGGGCAAAGCTGTAATTGTTTCAACACCGGCTGCTGGGAAATGTCACCAGTGAACCAATTAGACTGACTTCCTGTAACCATGTAGAACTGATTATCCAAGTCAGGCGGGTGATGGGCTTGGGCACAGGGTGTGTGGTAGACACAAATGAAGAGTGACCTCAATGTCCCATTAATGTTACTTGACTTGTGCTCACTTGACCTCAGGTTGCTTGTAAAAAAGGTAGGGTCTTAGCCCTTTCTCCCTGAAATCCTCCCCAGTGATTTCTAGGAAGGGCTGGCTTTTTATTTCACCTTAGCTCTCTCGTTAGGTAGGTGACTTTGCATAGTTACCTTCAGTGGATTTACTGTATTATGGTTTTTAGGATGCTCTTAAAGTGAGAAAAAAAAATGTGCTTGAAGTAGACCAGGTAGCCCTTTTGATACTTTCAGTTAGATAATTATTTATTGTGGGGGCTGTACTGCACACTAGGATATTCAGCATCACTGCACACTAGATGTCAGTAGGCTCCCCAGGTTGTGACAACTACTAATGAAAACCACCTCAAATATGAGGATGCAATTGAGAACCACCATTTTAGGGACTATGGATACTATATCAGTGAAGGTTCTCTAGAGAAACACAACCAATAGTATGTATATATGTGGAGTGTGAGTGTGTGTGTGAGTGTGTGTGAGAGAGAGAGAGGGAGTGTGTGTGTAAAATAAGGAATTGCCTCACATAATTATGGAGGCTGGCAAGTCCAAGATCTGCAGGGTGGGCTGACAGGCTGGAGAACTAGTTCAGGTCCACAGGCTGTCTACTATAGTATCAGGAAGAGTTGATGCTGCAGATAAAGACCAAATGCAGTCTACTGGAAAATTATGTTGCTCGTGGGAGGCTGGTCTTTTGGTTCTGTTCAAATTTTCAACTGGTTGGATGAGGTCCACCCACATTATAGAGAGCAATCTGCTTTACTCAGAGCCTACCATTTAAATATTAATTCACTCAAAAACACTCTTATAGAAACACCCTGAATAACATCTGACCTGTGGTCTGGCCAAGACGACACATAAAAGTAACCATCAAAGATAAAAGGTGATCAAGACCCTGGAAGTCCCTGCCTCTGAGAGCTCACATTCTAGGCAGTGACCCAGATGATAGGCAAGTGTTTCAGTTATCTATCACTGGCTGTATTAGTCCATTTTCATGCTGCTGATGAAGACATACCAGAGACTAGGCAATTTACAAAAGAAAGAGGTTTATTGGAATTACAGTTCCACATGACTGGGGGAGGCCTCACAATCATGGCAGAAGGCAAGAAGGAGCAAGTCGTCTTACATGGATGGCAGCAGACAAAGAGAGAGCTTGTGCAGGGAAACTCCCATTTTTACAACCACCAGATCTCATAAGACCTATTCACTACCACGAGAACAGCAGGGGAAAGACCCACCCCATGATTCAGTCATTTCCCACTGGGTCCCTCCCACAACATGTGGGAATTATGGGAGCTACAAGATGAGATTTGAGTGGAGACACAGAGCCAAACCATATCACTGCCTAACAAACCATCCCAAACTTCATGGCATCAAATAGCAAACATCTTATTAAGTGCAAGTATTCTTTAGATCCAAAATTCAATCAGGGCATGGTTTGTCTCTCTTTGATGTCTGGGATCTCAGCTGGCAATATGCAAACCACTAGGAAAGAGTGATTTGAATGGCTGGAGGCTGGAATCATCTGGAGGCTTCTTCAATCAAGTCTGGCACCTGGACTAGAATGATTCAGGCTGGGCTTATCTGGGACTGTTGACCAGAGCACACACATGAAGCATTCCACATGCTTCTAGGCATAACAGCTGTGTTCCTAAGGGGAACCCCTGAAAGTAACATCTGGAGAGTGAGCATTCCAACAGGCCATGAGACCACAATAGAAACTGCAAGGCTTCTTCTGGCCTAGCCTCAGAAGTGACCCAGTGTCACTTCCACCACATTCTATCGGTCACAAGTGAATCACAGAGGCCAGGCCAGATTCAAAGCACGGGAGTTAGGTGCTGCCTCTTGACAGGGAGCAGCAAGGTCACATTGCAGAAGAACATGTGGGTTAGGACATGTATGTATGTATGTATCTATCTATCTATCCATCATCTATCTACTCTCCATCCATCAAGAGAATTTGCCACAAGTAAGCAAATATTCTACATAATTTCAGGTAGAGCTAAAAACAGAGGTGGTATTTAGAGTGTTATAGATACAAAGGATCTTCTAAGGTGATGAAAAGCATTCTAAAATTATATTGCAATGATGGTTGCACGACTCTGCAAATTTACTCAAAATTATTGTACACCTAAGAAAAATGAACATTACGATATACAAATTATACCTCAATACACCTGTTAAATATACAACTAGCATGCCACAGGCACTGAAGGATAAGAACTGACATGATGCTGGCCTTGGTTCCAGAGCAAGATTTTTTTTTTTTTGAGACGGAGTCTCGCTCTGTCACCCAGGCTGGAGTACAGTGGCATGATCTCCGCTCACTGCAAGCTCCACCTTCTGAGTTCATGCCATTCTCCTGCCACAGCCTCCGGAGTAGCTGGGACTACAGGCACCCACCACCACGCCTGGCTAATTTTTGATATTTTTAGTGGAGACGGGGTTTCACCGTGTTAGCCAGGATGGTCTCGATCTCCTGCCCTCATGATCCGCCCACCTCGGCCTCCCAAAGTGCTGGGATTACGGGCGTGAGCCACCATGCCCAGCCCAGAACAAGACTCTAAATGCCCCTCTCAGTTACATAACAATAGATGTCCTGGGAGGGACGGGGTGGCCAAGATGACTGAGGGACATTCAGGGCCTCAGGACTTCTACAATCAACACATGACAGCGACTATTTACGAATTGGTATGAAAGTATTTTCTACCAATATTAAGAGCTTTGAAAAGCAGGGTAAGGAAATAGAAGTGATAGGCTTGAGGCAGGCAGAAAAGTATTTTAGACACGGTAGATAAGGAAGTTCTTTCTGAGAAGGTGACCTTAGAACAAAACCCCTAAATGAAGTGAGAGAGCCACAGTGAGATCTGGAGGAAGCGAGACCCAGGAAGAGCGAAAAGCAATGGTATAGCCCTGAGCCAAAAGGGAGCCACATTCAGGAGGAGAAGGAGGAGGGGAGCTTTAATTGAAGAGAGTGAGGAGAACGTTAAACATCTATTTGTTTTATCATGAAGACAGTTGTATCACTATTTAAATGAAAGAGTAGCTGGAATATTGGTAGAAACTGAGACAAAATCCACAGAAGCCATGAGCCTGAACCATTTCTGTGGGTCTTGTGCACTTTAATCTACTTTAGACATACAGTGGATGGCGGAGACGTATTGCCGTCGGGAAGTCCTGAGAGAATGGAGCTTTTTCTTTGTGACACACTACAAGGAGATTCCTAGGACACTTGGGTGCAGGACAAGGATTCCCCTGTACCCCAGGGGACTCTGTTTTCCATCTTTCCTGAAGTGGATTTTATGAACTACACAGCAGTGCTACTTCTGGAAAACCTTATCACACTTGAAGTGATATCAAGGGATTAAACCAAGTGACTGAACTGACAAATAGAAAAAATACTTCACATTAGATAATGAAGGGTGAGAATGGAGTTCAGGACTGAGCGTTGAAAGTGAAAGGTAGGAAAACAATAGAGAAGAGAAATAAGGAAGAAAAGAGGAAGATTGGGAAAATTTCTGCTTGGTTTGTCTCTGGCAGATGTCTTAAGTGTGGTTGGGAAGATTTCTGATGGTTTCTTTCTGGCAGATGTTTTTGGAGTGCCTGGAGATGGTGCCTTCTAGTTCTGCTGTCCACACTCCTGCCAAAGCTTTCCCTGGCTGCTCCCAGCCATTGTCTGAGCATGATGGGGCTACTAGATCTGGCTCTTTCTGCCCAATGCAAATGCTTGCTCTAGGCCAAATCCTTGCTCTGGGGCTCCCCATGGGCCTGACTGAAGTTTTCTTAGAAATGCAGTCCAACGTTCTATCTACCCAGTTCCTCCCTTCTCTCTCTCCCTTCACAAATGTCAGCTTATCCTGAATTGAATAATTGACCCCTAAAATTCTTATCTACCTGGAACCTTAGAATGTGACCTTATTTGGAAATAGAGTCTTTGCAGATGGAATTAATTAAGATGAGTTCATAATGGGTTAGGGAGGGTCCTAAATCCAATGACTGATGTCTTTATAAGAAGTCCAGGTGAAGATGTGGAGAGGAGAAGGTGGTGTGAAAATGGAGGCAGAGGTCAAAGTATTGTGTCTACCAGCCAAGGAATGCCAAGGATTCCCGGTGACCACAAGAATCTGGGAGAGGGGCCTGGAACAGATTCTCCCTCAGAGTCTCCAAAGAAGCCCATCCTACCAACACCTTGGTTTAGGACTTCTGACTCCAGAACTGGGAGGCAATACATTTCTATTGTTTTTAGCCATCCAGTGTGTGGTCCCCTGTTGAGGCAGGCCTAGGACACTAACACACAGCTCTACATTGTGGTCTGAGACTCACCCTGTCTGCTCTTCTCCTTTTCACCTCTGTCCTTCATAGGACACATCCACCCAATAAATTCCCTGTACTTTTCATTCCCTGTTGGTGCCTACTTTCCAGAAAGCCTATACTGCCACACACCCCAAAATTTTAAAAAAAAAATCCCAGTTTTAGGCTTTCAATCAAAAGCTTCAGAAAGAGACTCTACCACTGAGTCAATAAGATTCATTGAGCTGCTAGTCCTCGCCACGTACTGTGCTGAGTGAAACAGGTATAAAGATGAACAAGACAGAAACTCTGCCGTTAAGTGCTCTCTCAGTCCGATTAGATGAGAGTTTTGTCTTGAAGGACACATAAAAAACAAAATAAAATAATCTCAATACAGTGGCAAAAATGTTGTAATCAAGACATGAAGTACTTTAAGGCAGTGCAGGTGCTTAGCAACACGGACAGTCACCTGACCCCGTATACAGAGGGGGTAGCCAGGAAACACCTCTCAAAAAGAGATAATATGTATGCTGAGACTGGAAAATGCAAAGGAGTTGGCTGGACAGAACATAGAATAGAAAAGCATTCTAGACAGACAAAGAGTGTGGACAAAAGCATATGTATTCTTTTGGAGACTAAAATTAAGTTGATCTTAAGTCTCATCCACTTTGGGGAAAAAAGAAAGGAGATAACATGGTCAGATAGCTTCTCAGAAGTGGTCTTAGAATTGTGCTGGAGTTGAGGATACAATGTGGAGTTGGGGACATATTTCCTAAACCTCCCCCAACCCCTGACCCCTTACCCAGTTAGACTCACTTCTTGTTTTGCATGGGATTTTCAAGACTCTGTATGCACTTGGGTTTTAGACATAACAGACATGACTGAGGGTCTAAGGCATCCAACAGAGCTCTGCTTAAAATCACCACTGAGAGGAAGCCTGCAATACCTGAGTGGAAAAAATTCAGGGCTGTGAACCAGCACCACTGAAAAGAGATTGTTGAAATAATAAGTAAATTACGTGATTTTTAAAAACATACCTTGTACTTGCTTGGAAGCAAAAGTTGAGGTTCCTTTGATAAACATACTGGATGTAGTGGCTCACACCTGTAATCTCAATATTTAGAGAGGCCTAAATGGGAGGATTGCTTGAACCCAGGAGTTTGAGACCAGCCTGGGCATCTCTAAAAAATAAATAAACAAATATTTAAGAATTATATCATTTGAATAATGTAAAACATATATTACCAAATATTTTTATGAAGGTCCAGCATTTTGTTGAAACTATCTAGTAAGCCTCCTGCAGCTGTTACCACTGCAAAACTAAGTGTGCAGTTAGTGGAGCAGGCACGGTGGTAGGGATACCGGGAAAATTGAGTAAATGACAAAGTGGAACAATGACATCAAAGGAGAGGACAACAGATAGGACAGCAGCATGAGAAAGGGAGAAAGACTGGGAGATTCAGAGAGAAAAGAGGGACGATCTTAGAAAATTCTGCTACTTGAGCTTCCAAAAAAGTTAAGAAAAAGAATAACCAGAATTTGCTAAAAATGGGAATGAAATAGATACTAAAACACCAAATAAAGGGCTCTAGAAAAGGAACAGGAACTCTAGTGCACAGGCTGTTCCCCTGTCGCTGCTGTGTGCATATTCAGTATCTCCCTGGCCTGCACTGGCCTCTCTGTTTGAGTGGGCCCTGTCCTCCTCTGTGAACAAACTGTAGCCAAAAGAATTGTAAGTGCTCATTCAGTCAGTTACATATGTATTATCAGAGCTTAGTCTTCAGCAGACTGCCTCTAGACACTCGGGAATTTCTCACTGGCAACCAGCGTTACCCAGGGTCTCACAGTGGTAATAGGGAGGAACATGAAGGATAGAACCGTGTGAGGTGAACAGCAGCCTCTTGCAATCATCTAGTCCTTTAGGAACAGCTCTGCTGTGCTGCTAGTCCTCAGGCCACACTGTGAGAACAAGTTACAGAGCACCCTGGTGAGTGCTGAGTGAGTCAGGGAGTAGAGATAAGAAGAAATAGAGAGAAAGCGAGAGGGAGAGAGAGACCTGTAGGTACATAGAAAAGGCAGGAAGCAACGTATGTCCTTGACTCATTTGATACTGCACTTTGTCCTACTTCCCAAGGATTCAGTCACCGCCATTTACCTTTAGCATTGCAGGCAGATAGAATCCCCCTCTACATATGAATCTGGGCACAAAGCCATGCAGGTGTGAGTAAGCCCATGAAGGAAGTGGCGCTCAAAGACTCCAGGAATTCAGGCCAGGCACAGTGGCTCATGCCTGTAAGCCCAGCACTTTGGGAGGGTGAGATGGGTGGATCACCTGAGGGTGAAACCCCATCTCTACAAAAATACAAAAATTAGCTGAGCATGATGGTGGGTGCCTGTAATCCCAGCTACTTGGGAGGCTGAGACAGGAGAATCATCTGAACCCCGGGAGGCGGAGGTTGTAGTGATCTCAGATCACGCCATTGCACTCCAGACTGGGTGACAGAGCGAGACTCTGTCTCAAAAAAAAAAAAAAAAAAGAAAAAAGAAAAAGAAGAAAAAAAAGACTGCAGGAGTTCTAATATGCCCCATTAGGTGGGCACCAGAATGGCCCCTTGTAACTTTTTCCTACCTTCTTCTCTCCTAATTCTTCTTCCATGGAGGAAACAATAATTATCTCTGAATCATCCCTATTCAGAGAATCGAGGATATATTAGAAGATCTGGGTAAACAAGCACAAATATTACAAAAGTACTAAAACAGCAAACTTCAGGGTTGAACTTGTGGTTTGCTTCTGTTTTTTCTACCCACTCTAAAGGTGTTCCTGATATAGAAGCTTCCTCAGTGTTCCCTGTGTTGGTGTGTAAGACAGAAAGAAGATTGGTAAAAGAGTGCACTCATCCTCCCCTACAAACCAGAGGCTGATCGCATTAGGGAGAAGCTAGGGTTTGGCCTCACACAAGCAGTTTGCACTGTTGTCCAATCCCAGGTGGGGTGACCGCCTCTTCATTTCCTTTGATAGCAACTGCCTGTTGCGTGATGCAGTGTGGGTGTCCTCAGAGGTAACTACCTAAGTTTGCATACTTCCTCACTGACAGAACACTCCTGCCAGTGCCTCCAGGCCAGGGTGGTGGTATTGGTGGGAGGAGTAAGTAACCAAGTTTCACTTCCTTGCCTTGGAGACTCAGAGCCACAGCGGGCTGCTGTCTCACAGAGGGAGAGGGTGGCAGGAGCAGCCGAGTTGTCTCTCTCTGCCTCTGTGAAGGGCGCGAATGGGCAGAGCAGAACTTCTAGAAGGGAAGATGAGCACCCAGGATCCCTCAGATCTGTGGAGCAGATCCGATGGAGAAGCTGAGCTGCTGCAGGACTTGGGGTAAGGGAGCAGATCTCCTTTCAAAGTGCCTAGTGGGTGGACATTGACTCCGCACTCCCACCTTCATGCTTTGGTTAATGACTATCTTCAGCGCCTTGTTGCCCTCTGCCACTTCAACTGTTTATTTTTTTCCACTTTATTCATTTGTATCTGTTAAGTATCTTCCTGTTTGGGGCTAATTCCATTGCAAAAGCCTGCATTATTTTTCTAGATGTGAAAACAAGTAGGTTGAGAAAATAGAGAAAAAAATCAAATGCTGGACATTCTTTGAGAAGAGGGACAGAATTGGGATATAGAGGTGACGTTGCCTGACTTCCTTGATGTTGCTCTGGTTTGTGAATAACTGTGTTGTTCAAGAGTTTCCAGCACTGACCCAGGGACAGTAAAAGGACCATGTTGCTGGTAAGATAAACAGAAAGCCTACCCTACTGTAAGGGAGGGGGACTTTTTCAAAAGATAGAGAATGAGGAAGTTTCTGCAGTAGTCTCGCTTGTATGTTTCTTTCTCCTGATACTGCATTTGGGAGTTTTATATTTTATGTATGTCCAGAGGGCCAACTTTGAGCCTTTAAATACCAACAATCCACGAAGAGGATAAAATTTCTTCTTCAAACAGGTAAGCATAGGTAGGTGGAGTCATTGGAGCTCTGTCTTTGAGAAGTGACCCAGATGACAACTCATCCGGGTATTTAATAAAAGAAGCAAGTATTACACAAGAGAGGAATTGGGGATTTCCTAGAGAAACTGAACCTTCTGCCTAATGCACTGGGAATATCCCAATGAGGGTGGCTTTGGCACCTGTGCATGAGGAGAGGTAAAACCTGTACCTTCTGCCTGAGTAAATAGTTCTAAATCTTCATAACAATCCAATGACATGGGAGCTGTTGTCATCTTCATCTTACAAAGGATGAAAACAAGCACCAAACAGGTTTGAATAACTTGCTTGCTAGTCACACATCAATTACATAGCAAAGCTGGGCATCCAACCTGCCACGGGTTATGTCCTAAACCGAAGAAAAACCAAAATAGAATTGAAACCTCTCTGTGTTAACGCTGCAGAGATTGTATCTTTTTATGTTGTATTGCTGTAAAAGTTTATCAGTAATTCCTGTCTTTAGATTATAAAACTGAGGTCTTGGAATTGAACTCTACTTTCATTTGGCAAATCAGATAAAACAACTGGAATTTTCATTAAAGAAAACTCCCCTTATTAGGAAGCCAGAGCTCTAGAATCTCTCTATCCCTCTAGAATGAATCCCCAAACAGAAGAGGCAAAGGGCCCTTCTGTGAGCATCCAGCACAGTTTTCACCAAGTCCAAATGCTGAAGCTGAACTGTGGCCCGCAGTGCCTTATTGAACCATTAAGCTACAACGCTTTACATGTTCTGTTAACTGATTCCCAGCCCACTGTAATAGAAAACCCCAAAGGAGGAGACAGAAGAATTTATTCAATTCTGGTCGTTTAGTTAAACAAACAATCCTAGAACCCAGAGTCCGTGGTTGAGTACTGTGGGAACACGCTTAGATGACAAAGATGAATTAGATGCTGTCTCTGTGCCCCACCACGATGCCAATAGCAAGAAGCAACTACAGGTGAACCCCATGGGGGAAATAGGACTGTGGACTGTGTCTTTCTTCCATGTGCAAAGAATCGACATTGAATACAAAACCGAGTCACACCACTTCCCTGCAAAACAAGGATATATTCATGTCCAGATTTCCCTATTTCAGAAGGCCTGAACAATTATTAAACATGAGGATGATTTCTATAGCAATGGGCAACCTGCAGGCATCTGGGAAAACTGTTCTACAGTCCAGGTTCTTGACCTTGGCTGTGCTCTGGAACAACCCAATGAGCTTTTTCTTTCTTTTTTTAAAAAAAAAACAAAAACAAACAAACAAACAAACAAACAAAAAACACTCCTGACACCCAAACCACAGACTTGACAAATGATTTCAGTATCTCTGAGGGTGGGCGTTTTCTTGTCAAACTCTCCAAGTAATTCCAAAGTGAGACCCTAGGTTGATGATCACTGCATAGAATATGTATCCACCAAATGCATTAGGTAAATGTCTTATTTTTCGTTTTAAGTCTGTTGGGTGTGTACTTGAATCTTAAAAGTACTAATAAATGTTGATATTTTGTTTATTGGCTTAGGGGCGTTTCGATTAGCAACTTTATTAAGGTGTATTTTACATATCATAAAATGTACCCGTTTCAAGTGTACAATTCAAGACTTTTGACTAACTTTACAGAGTGATACAACTGTCACCATCAATCAGTTTTAGTACATTTCCGTTCTCCCAAAAAGAACTCTCAGATGTAGGGCTTCTTTAAGCATACTCAATAGTGTGCTGGAAAAACACCTGGGGTGAGTTGAGGGGTGGAGAAAGCCCTGATTTCAAGAATTTGCCTAATTCCCTGGTATAAATACTCCCACTATAGACAATTTCAAGCTGCCAACAAGTTAACATCATTGAACTGAATATTTAATAATCAACTTGTGCCAGTACTTGCCCCTGCAGCATCTCACTGATACACTTTTTATAGATAACAATTTGAGAACCCTTGACAATGACTTGTTGCCTCTGCTAGAATACTGAACGTAACTCAAACATAATATTGACTTTTTCTTTGAATCTTTAACCACTGGTGAGATAGAATCTCTACCAAACCTTCTGATTAATTTAGTTTCCAAAATCTCCTTTAAAACAAAATGATTTAATGTAACTGATAGATAAAATTTGGCTGGTTTTAATGACTTAATTTTTCAATTATTTTGAAGAGGTTATTTGAGTAGTTAGATAAATCCTTACGTCTATATTTTTGATAGACATAAACAGATAAGTTAGTGGTTAAATTACAGAAATATCAGAAGTCTTTGTTCTTGGGCATCTGTTTTTTTCAGGCTCTGGAATATGTAAATCCTGTAAATTGAGCCCTGAACTGCAGCAAATCCGTCACTTGCCTTTCTAGGACATATACAACTTGCTCAGAGTACAGGTTTATTATTTTCTAAAATACCTAAATCAAGCAACACCATGCTTTTCCATGTCTCATTTACACAGTGGCAGCCTAAAAACGTTAATTTTATTTCATCTAAAATACATTCACGTGTCCAGAAGCAAAGGAGAAATAAAACCATCTTAAATTGTTGCTCAGCTTCGCTTACACTTTGCAGGGGAGGGTACGGGCTTAGGGGGAAGAGGGGTGTGGGGAGGGCAAGAAGTGAGGGGCATGGAGAATCAGGGGAGAGGAGGGAGGTGGACCATGAACCAGGAGATGGGTCAGGCTGTTTGTTGCTTGCAAAATGAAGAGATGGCAAAATTAAACAAGTAACAAATACTGGAGATATCACCTAAGTAACAAACTGGTAAAGAATAACTGAAAATTCCAGCGATTCTTTGGGTTTAACAAAGGTTACTATACTATTTCTACATATAGCTCTATATAAGTATAAATACAAAAGAAATAACATAAAATGAAAATATTTTAGCATACTTTACAATTAAATATTCAAATGATCTAGTCAGTCGTAACTCCATGTGAGAAACATAATAAACATTCTCTTTTTTAGATATTTTCTCAAATTGGAAGTTGTATAAGAAAGTGCCAGTGTTTGGCTGGGTTGACCAGTGCCAAATAACTAGATTCTAAGCTCTGAATATTTAAATTAGTTGACAGCTAATTCTTCACATATGAGAGAAGGTTAGAGTAGATCATGGAGCAGCAAACCTTTTTTTATAAAGGTCTGCGTAGTGAACGTTTTAGGCTTTGCAGGCCTTACAGTCTCCACCTCAACTACTCACATCTGCTGTTGTGCAAAAACTACAAGAGAACACAGAAACAAATGACCGTGATGGTGTTCAAACAAAACGTTATTTATATACTGAAATGTAAATTTCATGTAATTTTTATGAGTCACAAAGTATTCTTCTATTTCCCCCAAGCATTTCAAAATGCTCAGCCATTCTTGGCTCCCGGTCCACACTAAAACAGTTATCTGGCAGGAATTGACCCTCAGCTGGTGATTTGCTGACCCAAGGAATAAATTATAACAAATAAAATGAGTCCCTATTATAAGGCAGGCATTTTGTAGACACTAGCTCTCATCTTCAAAAGGCACTGGTATTCCAGTTTTACATAGGAAGTGACTCAAGAGCAGAAAAATCAGGTTGCCTACAGTCTCGGAGAGTCTGTGTTCAAAACCCATGCTGACTTCACAAACCAGGTTGTTTCCCTGCTGTGATAGTCCTGATTTACTGACCACCTACTATGCACCAGCACCATGCCATTCACATGCATAATGCCATTCACAAGAACACTTTCAATACGATATCACCATACTCATTTCATAGATGCAAAAGGTGACTTCAATAAGCTAAGTATACAATCCAGATCACAGACTTTGTAAGTAGTGGAGCTGAGAGACACACCTAGCAACTTACCCCAGAGCTTTCCACTGCGTGGTGCTGCTTTGTAGAGCCCACTGGTCAAAGGTATATATTCTAATCATGACAATTCGTAATTATTGGATGCTTGCCATGTGCCAAGCACTAGTTTAAGCCCTTTGCCCAGATGAACTTGTGTAATTCACACATTGCTGTGAGGTGGGTATTATTACTAATGTCATCCCCATTTACAGATAAGAAAAGTAAAGAACTGAGTTTTAATCACATGCACAAGTTTCCATTCTAATATACCTTCAAATCCAAGCGTTTTGCTCCAGAGCCTTCATGCTTGATGTAAACTAATGTAACCATTAATGTAAACTGGTTTTCATCAAATTTCTCTCATCTTATTATACAAGTACATGTTCGTAGTGCTTATTATAAACTGAGAGAAGCAAAGAAAGTTCTGTGACTATAACAAAGTTTACTGTAAAAGACATTATTCTTTCTATTCCTCACATAATATGCATACACATGTACACAAAGCCAGGCCAGTCTCCTAGTTAATCAGATGTTATTGAATTTTGTGTAGATTTCATTTTCAGGACT